AAAAAATATTTATACTGATTTCCACAATGCTTGTACTAATTTACATCCCCAGTATATAAGAATTCCCCTTTTTCCACTTCTTTGCCAACATTTGTAAATTTTTGTCTTTTTGACAGTAGCTGTTTTAACTGCATGAGATCTCATTATGGTTTTGATTTTTGTCTCCCTGATGATTAGTGAGTGATGTTAAGCTATTTTTCATATACTTGTTGGCCATTTATTTATCTTCTTTTAAATATATATATATATATATTCAGGTTACTTAACCTTTTTAAATCAGGTTATCATTATTGTTGTTGTTGAATTGAGTTTCTTGTATGTTTTGGATATTAATCTCTTGCCAGGTGAATAGTTTGCAGTGGTTTCTCCCTTTATTCTCTGGTTGTCTTTTCAAACTGTTAATTCTTTCCTTTGCTGTAGGTAGCGTCTTAGTTTTATATAATCTCATTTGTGTATTATTGCTTTTCTTGTTTGTGCTCTTGTGATCTTCTCCAAAATAACTGCCTAAACCAAGTATGACGTATTTCCCCTGTGTTTTCTTCCAGTTGTTTCATATTTCAGTTCTCACAATTAAGTCTTCTATTTTGAGTTGATTTCATATATGGTGACAGATAGGGGTTTAATTTAAATCTTTTGCATATGAATGTACAGTTTTCCCAGCACTATTTATTGAAGAGATTGTCCTTTCACCAATGTATGTTTTTGGAACCTTCGTCAAAAATCAGTTGGTTATAAGTATATGGATTTATTTTTGGGTTCTCTAGTTCTGTGTTAATTGGTTTATGTATTGGTTTTTATAGCCTATTTATTTCAATTATTGCTCCTTTTCTCCATCTTGTTGACCTCACTAAATAATATAGAAGCATTTCAGTTGACTGCACTGGGCTTTAGAATGTGCCATTTAAAATCTTCTCCCATTCTAATCGAAATAATTGGCCTTCCTAGAAAAAGAAAAATATATCTGACTAATCCTGGGAATCTGGGAATTCTTTACTTTGAACTTTCAGCACCGCTGTTCATTTCTTGAAGGGCAACTGCTCATTGTTTCACTGTGTAGCATTTATTTTATTGCACAGGGCAGTTATAAATTTTTACTTCCTGTTGCATTTAGTAAAATTTAAAAGCAATAGTATTTTATTGTCAACAGTGGACTCTGAATTTTCTAGGTTTAGAAAACCTGAAGAAAGGAAGAGTACAGTAACATTCATTTTTGGCATCTAAATTATATTATAATGGCTTAACTCCTTCTCTCTCACCCTTAACAAACCTATCTGTTAAGTCTTAATTGGAAGATAGTGCACTTTCTATTGAAGCATTTGTTTTTTGTAAGTAATTCACTTTTAAAGTAGTTTTTGTACTTTTGCAGTATACTTGGCATCTGTTGTTAGTATACTGCAGTAGAGCCCACTAATGTGGGATGTTCTACATCCCTCCTTTTTTTACAGAGTAATATTTTAGAACCCAAGTAATTTTCAGATGTCTGAGAGGCTAAGTTTGATATAGAAAAGTAGTTACCAGAATGACTAACATAATCATTCTTATTTCTCATATCCTCAAAATGGTACTCCAGCCCCCTCCTCCACCCCCATGTTCTCCAGGATGTGCTGAATTTTATTTCTACTCTGGAAAATGCTGAGGGAAAGAGAAACTAAATATGTGAAGGAGAGAAAAAACTTATCTGAATGATCTTCAAACTACTTTCTTTCAAATTTAAATTTCTTAAAGTATATTTTATAAAAATATATAAATGAATGTTGATGCTTTTCAGGATATTAAAAGAGTATGCTCTTAGCCAATGTTGTGATTAAATAATTAGAAAATCACTGATTTCTGAGGAGCTAAGGATTACTCTTTAAAGCTTTCATTTTCATTGTGAACCTACTATATCCCACGTACTGTTGATTACTGTATGTGCTGTGTTGCTTTTATATATTTTTTTAGTGCTGCTTTTTTATATCCACTGGTTCACTCCACAAAAGCCTGCAACAGCCAGGATCAGGCCAGGATGCCTGAAACTCATTCTGAGTTTTCTGTTTAAGTGGCAGGGACTTAAGTACTTGAGTTGTCATCTTCCACCTCCCATTGTGTGCCTTAGCAGGAAGCCAGATAAGAGGCAGAGGTGTCTGAACTTCACTTTTTTTTTTTGTTTTCTCAAAACTTTATTTTTTTCCTCAAAGAAACCTTTTATTTAAGGAATACAAACTTCATGTATTTCATAAGTACAGCTTTAAGTATAGCTTCCCACTATACCTGCCCTCTCACCCATACTCCTACCCCTTCTCCTCCTACCTCTCCCATTCCCAGTCCCGTTTCAGAGAGCACTTTGGTATGGGATGTAGGCATCATAAAAGACATCTTAAATGTTATGTAAAATGACTACCAAATACAATAATTTTAAACAGGAATCCAGAAAACAAGGAAAAATGTCATATTTATGACATAATTAACATTTCTGATACTGATACTCTGAGTTTCTATATAATATAGTTTTTATTTAGCTAAAGGAACTTGCATTAACATTTATTACAGTGCAAGTCTGGTGGTAGAAGATTCTTTAATCTTTTGTTTATCAGAAAATATCATCTCTTTTTTGCAGATTTTAAAATTATTTTTATTTTTAACTTTTGGTGGGGGGAGAGGTCCCACCTGCTGGTTCACTCTAAAAGCCTGCCATTGCTGAGGCTCGGCTGGACTGTTCTGGGAGCTGGGAACTCATTCCAAGTCTGTCGTGTGGGTGAAGGGAACCCAAGTATTTGAGCCATCATTGCTGCCTACCAGGGTCTGCATTGGCAGGAAGCTGGACTTAGGAGCTGGATCCAGGAACTGGACTCAGATTTCCAGTGTGGCGCATCGGCATCTCAACTAGCAGGCTAAACACCCATGCCCTATTTCATTGAAGGATACTTTTGCTGAGTATGGAATGCAAAGTGGACAGATTTTTCTTTCAGCACCTTAAAGGTACCACCATCCCTTTGCCTTTTAGCTTACCTGCTTTCTGAGGAGAAATCAGTGAAATTTTTATCTGTTACTATATTTATAGTGTTATTTTTCCTCTAGCTATTAGTAATATTTTATCACTTTTTTTTAAAAAAAGATTTATTTATTTATTTGAAAAGCAGAGTTACAGAGAGCAGAGGCAGAGAGAGAGAGAGAGAGAGAGAGAGAATCTTCCATCTATTGGTTCACTCCCCAAATGGCTGCAACGGCTGGAGCTGGGATGATCTGAAGCCAGGAGCCAGGAGCTTCCTTCAGGTCTCCCATGTGGGTGCAGGGGCCCAAGGGCTTGCACCATCCTCTGCTGCTTTCCCAGGTGCATCAGCAGGGAGCTAGATTGGAAATGGAGTAGCTGGGACTTGAACCAGTGCCCACATGGGATGCTGGCACTGCAGGCAATGGCTTTACTATATGCCTCCCCCAGCCCTAGCCTGTTTATACTAGTTGTGATTTGTTAAGTTACTGTTCACCAAATTTGGAATTTTTTGTCTTTATTTCTCTAAGTACTTCTTCCTTTTGTGATTCCTGTTATATGTGTGTTAGCACACTAGATATTATTCCACAGATCACTGATGATCTGTTCTCCTTTTTCCCTCAACTTATTTCCTCCTCTGTTCCTCATTTTGGATAGTTACTTCTGGGTCTTCTGGTTCCTGGATCTTTTCTTCTGCAGCAAAGTGCATTAATTTTTCATGTCAGATATTGTATTTTTCTGTTTCAGAAGTGTTATTTCTATTTTTGTATTTTTTCATTTTTATTATTTATTTTTTCCTTGAACTCCTTAACATTTTTATAATAGCATTTTAAAGGTCTACATCTGCTATTTCTATCTCTTGTCCATTCTGGGACTCTTCCTATTCACTGATTTTTCTCCTGGTTATGTCTCTATGTCTTTTATGTGTAATAATTTTTGATTACATACCATGTATTTTATATTTTTGTGTGTAAGTTATAAGTGTGTTTTAAATATTCCTTTGATGTGTGATGAGTTCTTTTTTGGCAAGCAGCTAAGTTACTTGTAGATTAGCCCGATCATTTCAAGGTTCATTTTAAAGCTTTGTTTGAGCAAGTGTACAGAAGACTTTATTTTGGGGATAATGCAATCTTCTTCTAAGGCCATGGTCTTTCTGAGCTCTCTGCAGAAAGCCATGGGGGTTCAGTGAAGCTACTTAGAATTTACAAGTATCCCAGCCTTATGTGAGCTCTGGGAATTGTTAGCCTTATAGCTCCCTGGCAGTAGTTCTTTATCTGGCCTCATAGAATCTTTCCCTAAATATATACAGGTTAGTATTTGGCCAAAGATCCAAGGAGACTTTTTGCAGATTTATGGAGCTCTGTCCTGCATGTGTTCCTCCTTTGGGAGCTCCTAGTCACAAATTTCATTTTCCTCAGCCTTCCCAAACTCTGATCTCCATTTCTTTAACTTAATGCAAATGTACTTTTCTGTTTGGATTACGCCTCCTTATGCTACAGCCTGTGTAATTTTTTAGGCAAAAATCTGGGGGTGATCTTGGGACTCATTTCATTCATTTTCCTTCTCTCAGGAATCATTGTCCTTGCCAGCCTGATGTACACATGTGAAAGTACAGTTTGCTTGATGTTTACAGCACAAGAGTGAGCCTATCATGGCTGGAGGCGGACAACTCTGCTAATTTTGATTATGATTTGTTCACACATAAGTGGTCTTTAGTTCATAGGAATCCTGTTTAGCTGATAACATAGGGTCTTACAGGGAATGCCTCTGAGATTTGGGTCTTTTGTTGATTCACCAGGAATAGAATTCCAGGTAAGCACAGACTAGGCCATCTGAAGGGACAGCAAGATTAGTAGCAGGACCTAGCAATTGTCTTTGATTACTCTCTTACTAAGTTAGGGTTAGTGAATTTTCTTTGAAAAGCTCAGTTTTTGTTACACCCTCTTGAATGAGATCCTCTTCTAAATTGCGTTTTCCTCATGTGAATTGATATAGCTTTATTGTTAATCAACTGTGTCCTTTTAAACTTCAGGAGCAGCGTTTCTTGCTATCACAACTATCTATGCGGAGACTGGATCAGGTTTTGTGGTACCAAGTGCTTCTTCCAAAGCAGGCGTGGAAGCCATGCACAAGTGAGTACTCCTTAGTTAATCCTGCTGCTGAACGTAAATAATGTACTCTGCTAACTCATGAAACTAATTTCTTGCTTTCTGATCTCCCTTTGGAGAAAAGTAAAACAGAGGGTACTTTGAATTCACCAAAGGCAGGCATTCTATCTCTTGAGTGAGCCCTATTTGTCAGTCTCAGTACTGTCCAAAGAACTTTTCTGTAGTGAAAGGGATGTTCTGCAATCACCCTAACGCACGGCCATATGTAGCTGTTGGACCCATGAAATATAGCCACTCTTACTGTAAAGCTTAACTTAAAAATTTTAAATTAGGGAGCAGGTGTTTAGCCTAGTGGTTAAAACACCTGTGTGCCACTTTGTAGTAACGGGGTTCAATTTCCAGCTCTGATACTTCCTTGTCCCTGCAGATGAGGACCTGGAAGGCAGTAATGATGGATGACTCAAGTAGGTTCCGGCCACCCATGTGGAAGACATGGATTGTGCTTGGGCTCCTGGCTCCGCCCTAACCCAGACTATTCTGGGCATTTTGGGAGTGAACCAGTGGATGAGATCGATCTCTCTCTGTGTCCCCCTCTCTCTCTGCTTCTACAATAAATAAAAAGTTAAAAAAAAATTAAATAGCCAATATTTTAGCCGTGTGCTCAGCATTTTAACATGCACCACTAACCATGAGAGGTGAATTCCTTATCATGTCACAGTAGTTCCTCAATATAAGTTAGCTCAGTGGGAGCTGATAGATCATGTTAGCAGTGGAATGAAATTTTTAAAAAATATTTTTTAAAAGATTTATTTATTTATTTGAAAGGCAGTGTGCCTAGAGAAAGAGCGGTCTTCTATCTGCTGGTTCACTCCCCAGATGAACTGGTCAAGGCTGGGCCAGGCCAAAGTCGGGAGCCAAGAGCTTCTTCCAGTCTCCTAAGTAGGTTCAGGGGCCCAAACACTCAGGCCATCCTCTGCTGCCTTAGTGGAATGAATTTATCTGGCACATCCCTAAGATTAGGATGGCTTTTCCCTAGGTTCATTTGTTTCATAGGTTGCTCAGTTTTTCCCAGCGTAATGTAGGTTCTGCTCAGTTTAGAAATCCTGTTAAGACATGAAGTTACTACTTCTCTAGCAGCTTGGAGTCAGTGCACTACAAGTACGTACCCACGGTATGGTCATGAACTTCGTTGAAAGCATTCTCGAGGGTGAGACATTGTGGTGCAGTGGGTTAAATAACTGCTTGACATGCAAGCTCTGACTCTTTCACTTCTGATCCAGCTTCTTGCTGACTCCTGTGCTGGGAGGCAGCAGATTATTGTCCAAGTACTTGGGTTCCTGCCACTCACATAGGTAACCAAGATGGAGTTCCATGCTCCTGGCATTGGCCTGGCCCACCCTGGCTGCTGTGGGCATTTGGAGAATAAACCAACAGATGGAAGATTTCTCTGTCTCTTCCTCTGTCTCCTTCTCCCCCTCCCTCTCCTTTTTCCTCTCCTCCTACATCTCTTTCTCTCCTATCCTTCCTCTCTCTGTTTCTCCCACTATCCCTGTTATTCTGCCTTCCAAATAAATGAATGAATGAATGTCTGTTTTTAAAAAAGCATAACTTGGAGGTGATTTGCCTGAAAAAGGTATAGTCAATCTGTTTTTCTCAAATATACCCATGGATTAGGTGAGAATAAGGCTGGCATTGGATCATATGTTGCATATCCTGTAGAGTTGGTTTTACTGAATTGGCCTTTGAAGTGATACTGTCAGACTCTATTAATAGATATCTGTGCTTCCATATAACATACTCAATTTCATCTGTTGCAAGGATACAATGTCTTAAGGACACTATTACATTATCACATTTTCCTTTTATCAGTCTTCCAGAAGAAATCATTTTTTCTGTTAGAAAAAATTATGCTTTTCCTGAGTAATTAGCTTGCTTTTTCCATATGAACACTGTGAATTGTGTAACCTATTATGCTTAACTTTTTTTTTTGCATAGGACCATGAAAAGGCTAGATAGAAATTTGTGACCTGCTTCTGGCAGTAACATGGAATTTAAAAATCCATTTATATATTAGCTTCCTTCTTTGCTCTTGTATGTTTCCTTATTCTTCACTCCTTCCTTCCCACTCCCTCTCCATGCCTTCCTTCCTTCCTTCTTCATTTGTATTATTTGTATTCTTCAAGATACCTTAAAGCATTTTTAAAAACTAGATTAAGAATGTATGAGGCTACTTCAAGAAATTTGTATAAAATGGATGAGTTTATTTTGGTGCAAAATTTTTTGGAAAGCCATATATATATATATTTAAATAAAACAGATCATAGAAAAAACTATGGGCCGGCACCGTGGCTCACTAGGCTAATCCTCCACCTAGCGGCGCTGGCACACCGGATTCTAGTCCCGGTTGCCCCTCTTCCAGGCCAGCTCTTTGCTGTGGCCAGGGAGTGCAGTGGAAGATGGCCCAAGTGCTTGGGCCCTGCACCCCACGGGAGACCAGGATAAGTACCTGGCTCCTGCCTCGGATCAGCGCGGTGCGCCGGCCACAGCGCATCGGCCGCGGTGGCCATTGGAGGGTGAACCAACAGCAAAAGAAGACCTTTCTCTCTGTCTCTCTCTCTCTCACTGTCCACTCTGCCTGTCAAAAATTAAAAAAAAAAAAAAAACTGTGTATGCTGACAGCCTTGCTTACGTGGGATAAATACCACTTGCTTGTACTACATAAAATTGTTGGATTTTACCTATTATTTAAAAAAAAGAGAGATTTCTAAAGGCAACCCAGAGGAATCCTTAATCCAGTTCTTCATTAGAAGAGATGTGCAATTCGGGACATGCTCAAGCTGACTTACCTCAAACGGTAGAGTTAGAAACATACCAGGGGATTCCAATTCAATCCCATCAAGGTGGCATGTACCAATGCCATCTCACTAGTCCCAGTGATCAATTTCTGTGCACAATTGATCATAATGATAGGACTAAGAACCAAAGGGATCACATAAACAAGAATAGTGTCTGCAAATACTAGCTGATAGAATCAAAAAGGGAGAGAATGATCCAACATGGGAAGTGAGATACACAGCAGACCCATAGAATGGCAGATGTCCTAAACAGCACTCTGGCCTCAGAATCAGCCCTTAAGGCATGCGGATCCAGCTGAAAAGCCCATGAGAGTATTTCAGGCATGGAAAGCCAAGACACTCTGGGGAAAAAAAAAAATGAAAGATCTCCACGAGTGAGATCCCAGTGGAAAGAACGGGTCATCAAAGAAGGAGGTACCTTTCTCTGAAGGGAGGAGAGAACTTCCACTTTGACCATGGCCTTGTCTAAATATTATCAGAGTCAGTGAACTCAGGGGGCTTCCATAGCCTTGGAAACTCATGACAAGAGCCTAGGAAGATTACTGATGCCATAAACAAGAGTGTCAATTTGTTAAGTCAACAACAGGAGTCACTGTGTACTTACTCCTCATGTAGGATCTTTGTCCTTAGTGGGCTGTACATTGAGATTTAATGCTATAACTAGTACTCAAATAGTATTTTTCACTTTATGTTTCTGTGTGGGAGCAAACTGTTGAAATCTTTACTTAATGTATGCTAAACTGATCTTCTGTATATAAAGAGAATCGAAAATGAATCTTGATGTGAATGGAAGGGGAAAGGGAGTGGGAAAGGGGAGGGTTGCGGGTGGGAGGGACGTTATGGGGGGCAAGCCATTGTAATCCATAAGCTGTACTTTGGAAATTGATATTCATTAAATAAAAGTTTAAAAAAAAAAAAAAACTGTGTATGGATTTCAGATTATTTGCATTAGGAAAAAATCTGTTAATAGCTTTTCCATTAATATTTTGAAATATCCTCATACACATGGATATACATACTATTATAAATTTGTGAAGTATATAGACCTATCAGGCAGGCTTTTAAAACAGATTGCTTCAAGGTTCTGTGTTTGCTATTTGGATTCTCTTTTGCTTCAGTACATTTAGAAAGGTTTTGTTAGATTCCTATTTCCTTTTTAACGCAGTTCAACAATTGTATTAAAGCCTAGTTAAACATGGATGTGGTTAATATTTTAAATCTGTGTAATCCATCTCTTATTCAATTAACTTACTTGTGATATTGCAGACATTGTAATCCAATGCTATATGTAAAATTACCAGGCTATATATAAAATTATAATGAACTTTATAAATGCAAGATTAATCTCCAGAATATATAAGGGAAGGGCGTGAAGCTCTCCTGTTTTTATGTGAGTAATGAACACCTACTCCAAAAAATATACTAATTATATATGTTAATATTGGACTTCTTGTTCTGAAATGTACATGGTAGGTAGTGCAGCCTAGTGATCAAGGGCATTAAAGCATAAATGGGAGATCCTACAGCAGAGGAGTTGAGGGACAGACTCTCACGCTAGACCACTTGAGCTTGACAAATCAGCCATATGACCTATCAAAAAGATTTGATTACTCTGTGCCTCAGTTACCCCAACTGTTACCTAGGGAGTAAGAGTAGTCTCTGCCTGGTGGGGTTATAAACTTTGGTATGTAGTAAGCATACAGTGAGTCTTGGTTATTTGGGTTTTTGACATAATATTTTAAAATTAATGTTATCTATTGTAATGTTTAGGTCTCTTGCAGCTGAATGGGGTAAATATGGAATGCGATTCAATGTGATTCAGCCAGGGCCTATAAAAACCAAAGTAAGTTTTAATTTGCTTAACCTGTGAATGATTAAAGCATGAAAAAGTGATTTATGTATTCTGATTATTGTGTGAAGGACTTTGGGGATACCTGGATTTGAAGCCCTGAATGTTGGAAGAAGTTTGTGCCATTATCTAATAGAAGAAATAATGAGGTGGGCAGGGCATAGCATATGCACAGCTTCCTGATAATGTCTCTTTCAGTGTCTTCATCTTCAAGGATCTTTTATGCTGTCAATTTTGATATTTTTTTTCCGATTTGCTTTGTCACTATCTGCTATTATCCTATACTTCTTAATTTTTATGATTATTTTAAAGATTTACTTTGACATCCCTTTACAATTTTTACTTATTTAATTTTTTATTTGATTAAGAATGTAGAGAGAGACAGACAGAGACAGGGACAGACTGGAGAGATCTTCTGTCTGCTGGTTCACTCACTAAATGTGCACAAAAGCTGGTGCTGTGCCAGGCTGATGCCAGGAGCTGGGATGTCATTTTGGATGTTCCACAGGGTGGTAGGTACCCAAGTACTTGGGCCATCACCTACTGCCTCCCAGGGTATACATTGCCAGGTAGCTGGGGTCAGAAGCTGAGCCAGAACTTGAACCCAGGCACTATGATATATGATGCAGGTATTCCAAGTGGTATTTTAACCACTGCACCAAACCTCTGCCCCAACATCTTTTTTTTTTTTTTTTAAAGATTTATTTATTTGAAAGAGTTACACAGAGAGAGGAAAGGCAGAGGGAGAGAAAGAGTGGTCTTCCGTCTGATGGTTCACTCCCCAGATGGCCGCAATGGCCAGAGGTGTGCCAATCCAAAGCCAGGAGCCAGGAGCTTATTTCTGGTCTCCCACATGGGTGCAGGGGCCCAAGGACTTGGGCCACCTTCTACTGCTTTCCCAGGCCATAGCAGAGAGCTGGATTGGAAGTGGAGCAGCCGGGACTAGAACCGGTGCCCATATGGGATGCCGGCGCTTCAGGACAGGACGTTAACCTGCTATGCCACAGCGCTGGCCCCCGAATATTCTTTTTTAAAGTTATAAAACTGTTAACTGTATTTTTAGTTTAAGTGATGCTCTGGAAATTTATCATCCGAGCTTGGTCTTGCTATAGGTAGCGTTTTCTTTGACTCATGTCTTTGCCTTTCACTCTGTCAATTATGCATGTCATCTAACTCCTACATCTCTCTGATTAAAAATCCTTCTGATGGCATACGTCTCACCTAAAATTAATAATCCCTGCAGACGCTCGTTGCAACTCATAATTATCAGTAATGCTGTTGCAGATGTTGCTCAGAATGTCCACAGTTCTCTGTACTCTAATGACTGCAAATAACTTCATCCTCATAATTCCTTTTGTTTTCATGTAAAGTAAAAATTGATAGATCCAACAAGGATGTAGCTTTGAAAACCCAGTAAGTTTGGTAACTTGTACTAAGGAACATTTGTGTGGTAGGTAGTTCTTGAGTATTCAATATTAATATGGAAGTGGTCATATTGGTTTTATCTAGCACTTCAATGGGTAGAAACAAAGAGAAGAAAAATTCTTTTAAATAAATAAAAATTTTTAAAGGCAAAAATTACCTGAGTATGTAAAACTTGATTGAATATCCTATCTAACATTTAAATAATAAAGAGTTTAATGAAACTAGTGGAAAATAACTCAGATGCATATCATATATGAAAGCACATAATTCAGGATGACCTTTTGCTAAGTTCTGTCTGAAAAGAATTCTCTCGTCACAGAAGGTTATTTCTAGTATCCTATGTCTAGGAAAGATCACACCCATTTTACTTATCTATTTAACTTGTATGTAGTGAGTGTCCATTGTGTGTAGATACTGAAAAAGTTAAAAATCTTTGGTGACAAAGTGCTTGCCCTCAAGGAGTTTGTAGTCTAGCAGGAGAACTATGAATTATGCCCAAGTAATAAGTATTTAATTTTTTAAAAAAGATTTTTATTTATTTATTTGGGAAGTAGAGTTACACAGCGAGGGGGAGACAGAGAGAAAGATCTTCTATATGCTGATTCACTGCCCAAATGACTGCAATGGCAGGAGCTGGGCCGATCTGAAGCCAGGAGCCTGGATCTTCTTCCTGGTTTCTCACGTGGGTGCAGGGTCCCAAGCACTTGGGCCATCTTCTACTGCTTTCCCAGGCCATAGCAGAGCTGGATCGGAAGTGGAGCAGTGAGGACTTGAACCAGTGTACCTATGGGATGCTGGTGCTGCAGGTGGAGGCTTAACCTACTACACAGCTTTGGGCCCCAAGTACTTAGTTTTAGAGTGATGGAAAAAAAAAAAAAAAAAGCAAAAGAAAAATAAAAGAACCAAACTGAAGAACTGAAACTTCCTAGCAAGCATGGACAGAACCAAGACTAGTTGCTGCCCTCTGCCCATGCTTTTTTTATACCTGTCCAGAGAGAGCTGGAGGACTCACAGAGAGCCTTGCTTGTTTCCTGTCTCATGGCTGTGTTACTGAGGAAAACTGTCATGTAGGCTTCAAGGCACAAGTACAGAAAGATTCCGTCAGTTTTGTTAACCAGTGCACATTCATAATTCATCTTTGGGTGTTCCTTCATATCATTAACATGAACCAGAAATTGTGTGGCCAGTTATATTTTCTTCTCTCTCCAGAATCTACTTGAATTTCAAATTTTTACATACTGATTTTCCTTGTTTCTAGTTATTTTGGGAACAAAAGAGAAGAAAAATAATTTTCTCTTCAATATTTCCTATTTGGGTCACTTTTCTGTGTACTAAACGAAATGATAATGGTACCACTACCTCTGTGACACTACACTTGTGCATATGAGAATATTTCAAAAAGTTTGTGAAAGATGGAATTAAAAAGATAAATTTATCTTGGTGCAAAAAATTTTGGAGCCCATGCATTATTTTTAATTATATCTGTTTTCTATGAAATTTTTGGGGACCCTTGTATTCCTGAGTACTTTTATATATTTTATATATATTTTATGTATTTCTTTATATCCTTGCAACAGTTTTGTGAGGTAGCTAAGATAGATATCCTAATTTTACAAGGAGGCTAATTAAAGTAAAATGTCACATTTTCCAGTAATTGTTTTAGGTCTAATCAGATAAAATGACTTGTTTTGAACTAAACTGAATGTAGAAGAATTTGGTGAAATTTTGGTACTTCCAAGGCCCAAGCGATGAACAGGCTGCCATATAAAAGCATTCTATTATATTCAAACTTGTTTCTTAAGTAGAAAATGGGATGAATTTTAAAAACAATTTTTCTTTTCTAATTTCAAGGGTGCCTTTAGCCGTATGGACCCAACTGGAGCATTTGAGAAAGATATGATTGAAAGAATTCCCTGTGGCCGACTGGGGACTGCAGAAGAACTGGCAAATCTTGCCGTTTTCCTTTGTAGTGATTATGCTTCTTGGATTAATGGAGCAGTAAGCATGATTGTGGCTCTTTTTATTTGGTGGGGATGGCTGGAGAGTAGGGAGCCCTGTTGTGGAACCATTTCTAACAATGCTGAATGTAAAGGTGATTTAAAATCTTACTTATCTGTAAATTGTAAAATTAGCTTAAGAAATGTATTCCTTTATAAATTAATTTTATAAGGTGCAAGTTATCATGATAGATGTCTTTTTAAAAAAGATTTATTTATTTATTTATTTGAAGCAGAGTTCATAGAGAGTGGGAGACAGATGTGTGGGAGAGAGAAATAGAAAGAAAGAGATAAATACCTTTCATCTGTCCACTGGTTCACTCCTGAAATGACCACAATGGCCAGAGAAGGTCCAGTCCAAAGCCAGAAGCCAAGAGATTCATCCCGTCTCCCACGTGGGTGCAGGGGCCCAAAGACTTGAGCTATCTTCCACTGCTTTCCCAGGCGCATGAGCAGGGAGCTAGATCAGAAGTACAGCAACCGGGACTATAACAGGCACCCATATGGGATGCTGGCATCACAGGCAGCGGCTTTACCTACTATGCCACAACGCTGGCCCCAGAGATATGTCTTTAAGATGATTTTTGTGACTGGGTAGAATTTGAAATGGTAGAGTATTCCGAATGGAGTAAATCAATTTAGATTTAATCATCAGTTTTATTTTTAACATTTGGATTTTGATTGAAAGTGCCAAGAAGACATCCTATCCAATTAAGATGTGGAAATGGCTTATGGCTCAGAAACTTTTAAAAATGAGTTTAATTTCGGGGTTTTTAATATTTTTTCAGGTCATTAGATTTGATGGCGGAGAGGAAGTACTTATATCGGGTGAATTCAACAGTCTGAGGAAGGTAATGCCATTTTGTGTATATTGAATGATATATTAGTAGCTAGGATGCTAAGCTTTGAAAACATGTGAGAGTCACATTAAATTGACCTCTTCTTTCTGTGTCAGGTCACCAAGGAGCAGTGGGACACAATAGAAGGACTCATCAGGAAGACAAAAGGCTCCTAAGGCCACGCTGCCTTTTCTTGGTTACAGTAGAAGTCAGAAAACAGAAGTAGTAGGAACTGACTGTAATCTTGAATATTGTCAAGTCTAATAGATTGTTAATTAACAGTGATTGAATGCATATGCTGTGACAGAACAATGATAGCCATTGTATATCAAAGATAAATAAGATGGGATATTGTCTCTCCAAGAAAATTGTAAAGAATATGACGTTTGAACTACCTGGGTCCTGCCACCCACATGGAGTCTCCTGGCTTCAGCCTGGCTCATCTCTGGCTGTTGTGGCGGCATTTGTGGAATGAAGCAGTGGATGGAATATCCAGCTGTCTCTGCTTCTGTCTCTCTCACCCTCTCTGTCTTCCTGATAAATAAAAAGAAATAAATGCTTCTTAACAGTGTGAAACACGATGAAAAATGGATGCTGCTTTTTCTGCTTTTTTTTGTTATGTTTTATTATCAACCCTGTAATAAATGAATATAAATTTCCAAAGTACGTCTCATGGGTTACAATGTGCTCTTTTGTTTTTTATAATAGGAAATGTGAGAATACAAAAGAATGAAAAAAATGAAAAGCTCACTAACCTCCTAAAGTAATTTTCTTTACGTTAGTGTGTTTATTTTCAACATTTTGCTTTTTTATGTAACAGTTTCTGTGCAGGTAGTTTGTATATGTAATTTATACGAAGAGTCTACTGCAGTTCATTCCCCAGCTCACTTCACAAAACAGCCATCTTCAGCTCCTCACTGTCTGCTTTTTCTTCTGGAAAATGCCCCATGCTTATATTGCTGTTTCTTGACACCCCCCCCCCCCCAATTTTAGAACCTTTGTGGACTTTCTTATATAAGTGATACTTTAGTCTCTTGTTCCATTTCCAAGCCCATCCTCTGCCTTCTGCTTCTCTCCAAACACACATGGACATAGATATTTCTTTCCACCAATTCTACCAATATAACTATATCTCTTTTTTATTAACTTGATATTTTTACCTTTTTATAACTTTATAATTTTTTTTGTTTTCAATATTTTCTTATTTCCCCTTTTAAAACCATTCAGTTGGGGGTCTGTGCAGTGGCATAGTGGATTAAGCCACTGCCTGCAGCACCAGCATCCCATATGGGCACCTATTTGAGTCCTGGAAGCTCCACTTCCAATCCAGCTCCCTACTAATGCACCTGGAAAAGCAGTGGAAGATGGCCCAAGTGTTTGGGACCCAGCCACCCATGAGGGAGACCCGAATGAAGGGCCTGGCTTCAGCCTGGCCCAGCCCTTGCTATTGTGGCCATCTGGGGAGTGATCCAGTGGATGGAAGATTCTCCTCTCTCTGTAACTCTTTCAAGTAAAATAAATAGATAATGAAATAAATAATTTTTAAAAAAATTACCTGATAACAATTTTCCAGGCGTAGGTGTTTGGCCTACTGGTTAAGCTGCTTACTGGGGTACCTGCATCCCATATCACCATGTCCGGGTCCTTTCTGATTCCTGCTTCCTATTAATGCACACTCTGGGAGGCAGCAGGTGATGGCTCAGGTAGTTGAGTTCTTTTCACATGGGAGACCTGGACTGAGTTTCCAGCTCCCAGCTTCTGCTTGACCAGGTTGTGGACATTTGGGGAGCAAACCAGTGGATGGGGGCTCTTTCTGGCTGGTTGTCTGACTCTCTTGCTCAAATAAATAAATATTTTAAAAGTATTTACCAATGTCATACAGAGCTCCTTTTAAAATGTGCTTAATTGGGGCCTGTGCTGTGGCATAGTGGGTTAAGCTGCCACGTGCAGTGCCGGCATCCCATATGGGTGTCAGGTTCCAGCTGCTCCATTTCTGATCCAGCTCTCTGCCAATGTGCCTGAGATTGCATAGAGGATGGCCCAAGTGCTTGGGCCCCTGCACCTATGTGGGAGACCTTGAAGAAGCTCCTGGATCCTGAATTCAGACTGGCCCATCTCCGGCTGTTGCAGCTATTTGGAGAGCTAACCAGCCCATGGAAGACTTCTCTCTTTGTCTCTCCTTCTTTCTCTAACTCTGCCTTTCAAATAAAATAAATCTTTAGAAAACAGTTTTTTAAAAATGTGTTTGATAGTGAGATGGTATACTTTTTTACACTTATAAATTTCCTTTTTGTCTTACTAACTTGGTTTCTTAATGGGAGATTGTAAACATTTTTATTTATGTTAGCTTGTATGTAATTTTTCCTGTTAAACATCTCTCAGAATTTGCCTCATTTCTGCATATTATTACAAATAGTGGATGAGGGAGCAAAATTTGTGATCTAACAGAATCAGAAGAGAGAAGACATGGAGGATACCAACTAATAGGAATTATTCCTGAGTCTGAAAGAGAAACAAACATTATTGATGGAGAGTCACTATACCCTATGACAGGCCACATCCTGTTTTCACCTTAAGAATTACGGCTTTGTCACTGTGATTGGTACCTTTTATGAGTCCTGCTTCTCTTTCACTAATGGAGGGATTAATACTCAGTAAATTAAAGTGGGGTTATTGGTGACAGTGTCACTCATCTTACAATTAAAATGTGAAAACCTGCAGGAGATATTTCAGGTACAGTATGACAGCCATTGTTTCCTTATTGTTCCTGTGGAAAATAAAGCAGTGAGATTTAAGTGGCTTTGAATAATAAAATTTTAGAGCTGGGAAAGCCTTAGATGCTACTAATTCTCAATCCTTTTATTTTACCATTGAAGAGTCTGGCTCAAGGAAGTTTTGTGACTGCTGTATCTTGCCCAGGTTAGATCATAGCTTAAATCAAGAGATGACAGGATCTATATGAGATACCATTATATTGCAAAAGGCCTTAAGGGGGAGAATCCCATTAGTTTTTTTTTTAATGTTTAATTAGAAAAGTGTATAAATGAGATTGTCATAAAATGAATATACCCATGTGACCACTGCTCAGACCAAGAAGTAGAACACTGGGGCTAGCATTGTGGCACAGCAGGTTAAGCTGCTGCTTATGACACCAGCACCCACTATCTGAGTACTGGTTCAAGCCCCAGCTGTACCACTTCTGATTCAGCTCCCTGCTAATGGCCTGGGAAAGCCGCAGATGAAGGGCCAAGTACTTGGGCCCCTGCTACCTTGTGGGAAACTCAGAGTTCCTGGCTTCTGACTTTGGGGTGGCCCAGCCCTGGCTGTTGAGGTCAGCTGGGGAGTGAACCAGTGGATGGAAGATCTGTCTCTCCCTATCACTCTACCTTTCAAAATATATATATTTTAAAAGCAGAATAGCACTGGGAATCCAGAAGACTCGCTCCTGTCCCTCATCAAGACTCTGTACCTGCTCCCTATCTTGACTTCTAACACCATAGTGAAATTGTTTTATGTAAATAGAATCATACAACAATGTGTTCTGTTTCTGCCTCTTTTTTTTTTTTTCCCGGGTAGCAATTGTTTATGTATTCTCACTGTCCAGTGATATTCTACAGACTATATACTATAAATGAAGGTACCACATTTGTTCATTTTACTATTGGTAATCATTCAGATTGTTTCTAGTTAAGATTATGCTAGGGCCGGTGCAGTGGCTCACTTGGTTAATCCTCCGCCTGCAACACTGGCTTCCCATATGGGTGCCGGGTTCTAGTCCCGGTTGCTCCTCTTCTAGTCCAGCTCTCTTCTGTGCAGTGGAGGATGGCCCAAGTACTTGGGCACCTGCACCCACGTGGGAGACCAGGAAGAAGCACCTGGCTCCTGTCTAGGATCGGCACAGTGCACTGGCCGTAGCAGCCATTTTGGGGGGTGAACCAACAGAAGGAAGACCTTTCTCTCTGTCTCTCTCTAACTCTGCCTGTCAAATAAAAAAAAAAAAAGATTATGCCAAAGACAATGCTTAAATAAATGTTACTGTGATGAAAACAAACCCACCTTTCTCTGTTAGATTGGTGATAAATAGTGAAATCACTTAATTATAGGATGTGCATATGTTCAAATTAAGGATACTGCCAAATGGTTTTCTAGAGAGTTCACGATCTAACCTCCCACCAGGCAGAGTGTGAGCATTCCCACTGTGTCACGTCCTTACCCACCAATACTTTAGCTGCATCTTTAGCTGTAGTCTTTCTGGTGTCTAATTTTTTAAATTGGTGTTTGTCCTCCTTGCTAATAAAGCTGATCAGTTTTTATATGTTTATTGGACATTTAGTTATTTTTATATTTGTAAAATGTCTGCTCAGCTGTCTTGCACTTTTCTCTCTTGCATTATATTTTAAAAAGTGGATTTCCAGGAGTAATGTTTATGTATTTTGGATATGTGCTTTTGTCAGTTATATGTGTTGCAAATACCTTCTTCACTTTGAATTTTTCCCACTCTCTTAATGGTATATTTTCCTGAACAGCAGTACTTAACTGAGTCCAAGTTTTAAATCTGTTTCTTCTTAATTGGTACTAAGAAATATTTCCATGCACAGGGTATTGAATATATTCTTCTGTTATTGCATGCATGTCTTTTGCATTAAGATTGGTATTAAGCGTGGAATGAGTTTTGTTTGTAGTGTGAGGTAGGCCCTGTGCCAATCATCTTACATTTACCCCTCTACATTCATTTAAAAACAATTGTTCCCCCTGTTTTTGGCACAGGAATCAGACCTGACATGCATATAGAAGTATGATGGATTTAGTTGAGGTGGAAGGATTTCTTTGTTTGCTAGTGCTTAGGTGTTAATATCCTACATGCTAGATTTGTGACCATTATTACTGTGAGTACTCCAGAAAGTCTCTTCAGAACTACTCCCATCATACTTTCTTGTTGCTGTTTTTCCTTCTTTTTCCATGCTATTATTGCAAGAATGCCAAACCTGGGACAGATTTTGTGTGTATTTTGTGCTGAATAACTTTTTCTAAAGATAAATTGTAAGAAAATTCTTTTTTCTCATATTCCTCTGGAAACCTTCCATAAAAAATATTTTACAATATCAACTGGGCAAAAAAAATTTTCAGATATTTGAACTTTCTGAAAGTTTTTTGTTTGTAAATGTGAATGCCAGAGATACCCCTTTATTCCATAAGTGATCTAATACAAGTAACTCATTTAGTCAAGTTAGATTCTTTAGGCTGTAATAATTTGATCATTCTATATTTCTACCTGGATTGATTGTGAATTACATGTTAACTAATACTTTGGAGAGTAAACAAATACAAAATATTTAGTTTATTTTCTTCTTTATTTATACTTAGTAGTTAAATTCAGTTAATTTCGGTGCTTGCATTTATACACTAGAGGCAAAGCCAATCTACCACTCACATTATTTGTTAAATTTTTTTTGACAGATCACTTTTCTGTTCATTCTTGAGGGAAAAAGCTTACCTTTTTGTTATTTATGAACTGAAAAATAAGTGTTGAATTTATAGAATAGGGACATTCAAGCTGACCCGGAACCATCATTAACTTTTTGGCGATAACTTTATAATACATAGACACATCTCTCACAGCTCTCTGCTTCACAATCTGAGAACTAAATTGCCAACTATTACATATTAACTATATCTGGTTATAGAATGTTCTAGCTACAAATAGGTGGAATTGACTTGGATGTGGGTCAAAGAATGTTTTAGAATCTTCCTTACTAGATAAGATAAATGATTACATTAGCATTTTTCTTCAGATTTTTTTAAAACTCATTTGAAACTATTTGCAGATAGAAATAGAACTATTTTGAATGCTGATCTCAATATGAAATATAGTTCACAGAATACACAAAAATATTGATGGTATAACATTCAATAATCAGGATGCTATGAATTTTACATTAAAATTCAATTACATAGTAAAAAATAGAGTTGTTATAGCTACAAAAAATATTTTCAGAGGCAGCAGATACCCTTGGTGGAAATGAACACTTCTACATAGAAAGAAAATCCAGGAAGTATGCAAACTAGACACCAGGATACTCAGTATATTAAATTTAATCAGATTACACAGAATATGACATGAAACAGCAGTTTACTTGAATAAGCATAATCTGCAACATGTGAAAACAGTTTAGAAAATGGACTAAGGTCATACTCTCTGATGTTAGGTTTGTGGAAATAAAGACATAGAATCAGACAGATTTATGTGTCATCTGGTGCTGTCTTCTCTTATTACCAACTCAATTTGAACCAATAGTTTAATATGGATTCAAGCAATAGACAGTTGTTGATAATAAACTAAATCTTCTACTGTGTGACTGTAACCACATAAAGCCACAATTAACTTCTATTTCTTGATATTTTGGTGAGTATTTTAGATGTAAAAGCACATTCTTTCTAACAGTTGAAAATATAACTTTGAAATACATTTGTGGGACAGTCCTATGATTATTTAAAATAAAAATGCTTTTCATATATAACTCTCTTACTCAGTAGCAAATGTCCATTTACACATCAAAGATTAGAATTTCAGAGATTAATTCTGGTGGAATTCTTAGGGAAATCATAGTGCCCAACTGTATTTATGAAAGCAGAAATATGGTAGGTTACTTTTGTTTTAGTTGGGTGTACTGACTGGCCTAAGCATAGACTTTCTCTTTTTCAGTCATATAGTTACAAAAACTGTACATTACAAACAGTATAGAAACAAGCTGAAAAGAATGTGCCACACATCCTGGATAATTATCTATATGCAGTTAAATTTACAGATATAAAAGAAAATACAGCCTACTCCCTTATAATGCACAGTTATTTTTTAGATACAATGTGTCACTAGCAAGTAGCCACCAACTCTAGTTGTCTCCAGCACAAAGAATAAGAGCAAGATCTGTTCGGTAGAGCTTCCCTCCATCCGACAAAGCCATTATGCTCTTCTTGTATGTTGGAATATTATTAATATCCAGTTCCTGTGTAGAACATAGATGGCATTAAGGAAGTTAATTAGCCAATGACAAGTGATACAATGTGAGATGAAACCTCCTTGTTAGATCAATCCATTAAAAAAAGAGTTGAAGGGGCAGGCATTTAGCCTAGTGGTTACCACACTCGTGTACCATATCAGAGTACCTGGAGTTTACACTGGGCTCTGGCTCTTTATTCCAGCTTCCTGCTAATGTAGACACTGGGAAGCAGCAGGTGATGGCTCATGTAATTGGGTGCCTGCCACCTGGTTTGAGTTTCCAGCTCCTGGCTTTGGCCTGGCCCGGATCAGGCCATTGCAATCACTTGGGGAGTGAACCAATGAGTTGGGAGTTCTATCTGTGTGTGTGCAGTTGTGTGTGTTTGTATATGTGCATGTATCTATGTCTCTCTGTACCTCTCAACAAAATGTTTTAGAAAAAAAGAGCTAGGTTAAATACTTAAACAAATGTGAATAATCACAGGTTGTTGTTTTCTTAAAACTATTTATCATAGTTACACTGATGTAGGCCAGAACCAAATCTAGTCAAGACAGGTAATGTACTTTTGTTCCTCTGTAAATATTTTAAATAGATTTACAAAATGGATGTGTGGTTGCCTCAAGATAGACCCATAAATTCTGCCTAAGAAGTAAGTGGCATGTTAACTGAATTACCTGTTTATTCTTCTCACACAGATCCTTCAGTAAGGCATCCAGTTCATTTTCATCTATGTACCCATTACCATCCTGGGGGATGAGAAAACAGCAAACAACCAACACTATGGACAGTGATGGTAGGGAATGAAGTAAACTGCCAATCATTAGAGTACCCAGAAATCGCCCAGCCATGAAAAATACTGTATGTCAGGCCCTCACAATCTTTAGCTGCTCCCAAGTTACAAAATGAGTTGCTTCTCACTTATGTCACATTTATAAAATATCTTAAATATTTTGCAATACTTTTATACTTCACATTTTGCCTTAACAGTATTGTCTCCTATTGAAACGGGAGTAACAAAGTCAGTCACAGTATGTAAGAAAGTCATCATAAATATATTCATCTGGTGAGGATGGGTGCCAAGACCTGGGGAAATGTCAGGGGCCTGATACCACACCAGGAAATGGCAGATGATTGAGAGCCCATGTCTTCACCAATGAAGAAATTGAGGCTCCAAGGAGTTTTGTATCTTGTTCAAAGCCTCAAAGTCAATAAATCACAGTGTGGGATCTGAATCAAGCTTTGTATCATATAGGACATATCATAATACATTTCCTAGGAAAGAATGAATTAGTTGTATGACTTTAAAGCCCATTTTTTTTCAATATGAACCTGAAGTCTGAGATTTTTACTTTCCCCTAGTGAGCATTTTCTAAATTCTCAAAAATCAAATTATAGACAAGAACAAACTTTTAAGGCATCCAAATGCAAAAGGAAGAGGTACAAAATTGTCCATTTACAGATAACATGATTTATATATAAAGAAAATCCCCAAGACTGCAAAAAAACCTCTGAATTAGTAAACAAACTCAGTAAAGTTGCAAGACAAAATACCAACCTTCAAAAGCCAATTGTGTCTCTGTACACTAACAGTAAACTCCTAAAGTATTAGACAAATCCTGTTTTCAATAGTACACCAAATAATAAAATACTTAATATTATGGATTGAACAGGGACTTAGTTTCCCAAACTCAGGCAGATATCTAAACTCTAAAGGCCTAATGTTAAATGTTGATGGATTCAGGGTGGAGACTAGGTCTAATAATGGAGTTCCAGTGGGAGATCTTTAGCTATGTGTGTGTGTGTGTGTGTGTTTGTGTGTGTGGTTCTTGCCAGAGGACTGTTTCTTTACTCTGAGTTTATCCTAGCTTCTCTCTGCTTCCTGGCTCAGTATGTGATCATTTGTCAGCAGCCCCTGCGCTACTGCCAGCCTTCTCCAGGCACCAAGCTAATGGTGCTGCCAGGTTCGGAACTGTGAGCTTGTAAACTGTGACATGCAATAAACCTTTTCCTTTCTGGGAAGCTCCACTCAGGTATTTTTAGTAGAAGTAACAAAAAGCTCGTAACACACTTAAGAATAAAGGCAATTAAGGAGGTGAAAGACTTGTATCCTGAAAACTACAACTTGTATCATTGAAAGAAACTGAAAATGATACAGGCCTGTGAAAAGACCTCCTGTGTTACAGACTGGAGAGGTCAATATTACTAAATGTCCATACTACTCCAAGAAATCTAAAGATTCAATGTGATCCCTTTCCAAATTCCCATGGCATCTTTTTAAAGGTACAGAAAAATGATACTAACATTCATCCCACAGGAGACTCCAGATAACAAATTTGAGAAAGAAGAATAAAGGTTGAAGCCTTATGCTGCCTGGTTGTTTCTGGCATAGAGACACTCAGACCAATGCAACAGCAGAGGGAGCCCAGAAATCAGTCTACATGTCAACAGATACTTGACCAAGGATCATCCCTTCAGCAAATGGTGGTGGAAAAATGAACATCATATGCAAAAGAGTGTTACTGGATCCTTAGGCTTACACAAGAATTAACTCAAGATGTATTAAAGATCTAAATGCAAGGCATGAAACTTTAAAATTCACAGGGCAGGGAAAAACTTTACGACATTGGTCCTATCAATGATTTTGTGGATCTGAAATCATAAGCACAGTCAAGAAACACAAAAATAGACAAGTGAGACTACACCAAGCTAAAAAGCTTTTGCCCAGCAAAGGAACAATCAACAAAAGGAAAAAGCAACCTACAGAGAGAAAATATTTGTGAGTTATATATATCAGATAATGTGTTAACTTCCAAGGTGCACAATGAACTCACACAACTCTATAGTTTTTAGTGAAATACCTAATAATCCAATTGAAAAACATGAACTAATGACTAGAACAGACATTGTTCCATAGAGGACATACAGATTGCCAACAGGTATATGAAAGATGATCAATATCACTGACTGTCAGAGAATTAAAAAGAAGATACAATTAAATATTAATTCATAGCTTTTAGATTGTATATTATGAAACAAAACAAATGTTGGTGGAGATTTGAATAAACTGGGTGGAGCATATGACTCGGCTGTTGAGACACTGCTTGGGGTGCACACTATTGTTGGGAATCCCAAATAGTGTGGGCACTATGAGAAACAGTAATTAAGATTCCTAAACAAATTGAAAACAGAACTACCATATTATTTAGCAATTTCAGTTCTTGGTATTTAACCTGTAGATTTGAAATCAGGATCTCAAAGAGATATTAACACTCCAATATTTATTGTAGCATTATTCACAAAACCAAGATGTGGAAACAAACTAAATGCCCACCAGTAGATGAATGAAGAAATTGTGATATATGCATATACACACACAGAGGAATATTTTCTGCCTTAAGAATGGGCATTTTTGCAATATATGACAATATAGATGAAACTTGAAGACATGATAAGTGGAATAAGTTAGTCAGAGAAGAACAAGTATTGTAAAATTTAACTTAAACGATGTTTGTACAATAGCTAAACTCAAATTGTAAATACAATGGTCATTGCCAGTGCTAGGGGAAGGGGAGCTATTAATCAATAGGCATAAAGTTTCAATTATGCAGATGAATTAGTTCTAAAGATCTGCTGAACAACACTGTCTATGGTGAACAATACGATATTTTACACTTAAAATTTTAAGAGGGCAGATCATGTGCTGTTTTCATCACAATAAAAAGAGAGGATAAAAAATGAATTTTTACCTGATCATATAACTCAAAAGCCTTATTGAACTCTTTCCCACACATTTTGATTCCCTAGGAGACAGAGAAGAGAGTAAATGTTAAAATGCTTACTGTATTTCAACATATTTCCCTTGACAAATATCTCACATTCTATCTTTTCAAGGAAAGTATTATTTGCTGTAGAGAAAAAAATTAAATACCTGAAATTTAAGAAGAAAATTCTCTTGCACTGGTAGTAACCTTTTGGAAGAAAAACATATGAATAAATTGGTTTTTGGAAAGAGAACAGTTTATTATAAGAACTTATGTGCAGTTCCTAAACTTACCTGGCCATCTCAGTTAATTCCAGCTTCCCATCATTATTTGAATCAAATAGTTTCAGCTGAAAGACAGAATGACATTATTCTAGCCATTGATGAATGATTTATTTAATGAAGGACATGTACATTCAAAATAAAGCAGCTTGAATTATCAAATGAATATAAAACTTTTTGAAACTAGCATTTTTTAAACTTCTAATGCAACATTTTAATTTTGGAACTTGAGTTAATTGCCAAAGCGTGTCAGAACAGCATGGAATAGCCAAACAGAGGAGTAGTGATCTTAGCTAGACTTCAAAGCTACCATCATTTCTTCTTCTTGCAAATATATTTGTATGTGTGTCCAGATATGGGAGGGCTGGAGCTTTGCAGTACATGGCACTTCCTAAATCTTTCCAAACAATGTTATGACAATAAAAATTTAGTTAACTTCATAATTTTGGAGCAAAAGAATACAAACAAAAGCAATATACAGATAACATGAACAGAGTCTTAGAAAATAGAATTCTTGCATAATTTTTAATTGGGTACAACATATTCAGTAAATCTTTGGAACTCTCCATTATACTTACATACTCATCATGCACCATGACCCAACCTGACATGAACACACTTATGCTTATTAGAGAAACATCCACATTTTTAAAAGTAGCAATTATTGCCATGTTAGAAGAATGTAGTATAACTACAATGTATTAATATATAATATGTACATTAAAAGAACACTAAATAGGTCATAAATTCTGATATTGTCATACTATCTACCAAGATCCTGGACAAGTAGATCACACAGTTTAGCGCCCATAGGGAAATATTTACCCACATATATATTTAAATTTTAATTAGTTCTTGATTAATTTGCTTCCTGAATTTGAACTGGTTTATGACATTTAATCAGATATCCTGGGCCAGTCCAACAGGGGAAAAGTCCCATTTGAGTGGCTTTTGAAAGGTTGCTTAAAATTTCTACCTGGAAAGGAGATTTGACTTTAAATAGATATCCCTTAAGGTAGGAACAAAATAGAAAATTGATAAATGTAGGTTATTGTCCATTTCCCAAAAGCTAATCAGAGTTTATATCTGCCCATTGTGGCACATAGCAGGCAAATCTACCCATTTGTTTGCTAATGTTATTGTAAATGGACATATGATGAAGAATTAAGGAGGCCCCATGAAGATATTTTTGGTTATTTTGAAACTCAAGATTAGTCCATCTTTAAAACAATTATCACAGCTTTGTGAATAAGGCATAAAGAAGTCCTAGTAGCTTTTTTATCCCCAGAAAGTAGGTTAAGGTTGAAAGTAAACCTCAGTTACATCAACTACAATCAAGTCCTTTGTAAGACTGTTTCTCAGGAAAGTGACAAATTCTAACTCCTTCATTAGTCTAACAAAACAGCAGCTTTTATAATACACAACTATGGTTTCTGGGTTATTTATCTGAATCCAAGTTGTAAGAATTCACAGTTTCCCCACAATACTTGAAGCATTTATAAATGCTTCAGGGTCTCTAAAAAGTTCATGGAAAATATACATTATTGAAAAACTCTGCATGGGTTTCAAATGTCTCTTTTACCAAAGTCAACTTATATTTTTTTTCCTTTAAGAATTGAATTATTTATTTGAAGATCAGAGTTACACAGAGAGAAAAAGACCCGTAAAGAGGGGTGGGGAGGGAGGGAGGGAGAGATCTCCCATCTGTTGGTTCAACCCCTTAAATGGCCACAATGGCCAGGGCTGGGCCAGATTGAAGCCAGGCGCTTCAGGTCTTCTGGACCTCCCATACAAGTGCAGGACGAAGCACTTGGGACATCTTCCACTGCCTTCTCAGGCTATCAGCCAGGACCTGGATTGGAAGTGGAGTAGCCGAGTCCTGAACCAGCACACATATGGGATGCCAGCGTTGCAGGCAACAGCTTAACCCGCTATGTCACAGATCTGGCCCCTCAACCTATCTTTTATTTCCATTTTCCATGATATTTTTTAAATTCCCTAGAGTATTTTGTTGGGGGCAAAAAAAATTGTAACTAATACATAGCTTTTTAACAATATATATTTTCCATGAACTTTTAAAAGTACCCTTATGTATCTCCTGGAAGTCCTAACCCTGTAATTAGTCAAAATAAGAAAATATCACCTATTTGAAACAAATTAACTTCATGTGAATTGGCTTATTGTATTTAGACCACATTAATCTATTTGTTTATTTGTTCTCAACATATAAGATGCCTAAGCATAAAGCAATTTTCTTGATTCTATTATCAATATTCTATAATAGATCTTGGTTAAACTATTTACTATAGCATCAAGCTAAGGCTATATTTGGACTTCCTCACTGATAGCATCAGCATAATAGCCTGAAGTAAAAATGGAAAGAAAGGGGATCCATTATAAGTATCTTAACGAATAAAATAGCTAGAAGGCTTGTTTAAATTCTTACACAGCCTATCATTTTCTAATCTAGAAGATAAATAATAGATTCAGAACCTCCACAAAAAGTGAATTTTGGGTGATATAAAATATAACTTACAAATTATAAATTATGTAATTCAGTGATATATGCCCTAATTTCTCAAGAAAAAAAGTAATATTTCGATAGATAAAAATTATATAGCTCCACAGAGAGGCAATGCCCATATGTTGAGCCTGGAACTTAATGCCTGCAGAACTCAGCATTACAAGATGTAAGCATCCTTTACAAATGAAATGATACCTGTGTGCATGTGATGCCCACATCATGGTTTATTTATTTCATCCTGTGTAGCTTCAGGAATTAGTAAGAACACAGTAATATTTTATGAGCTCTTAGCTACCATCTTTTCACAATCAGTCTTACCATTAGGTCTGTATACTCAGCTAATTTTGTGTCATCAACCGTCTTGTTTGCTTTTTCCAGCAGATCCTTTAGAAAGTTCTGTTGAGATCAAGAACACTCAGATAAGTGACATCGATTATGCATATAGTCTGCTTCCACTTGAAATAGAACATTCAAGGAATACAAAGAGTCTTTTTGTGAGGGTAGAACTGGGTGAGGAGAGGGCCCTGGATGCAATATTAAATCATTGTGGCAATGAATGTGCCAGTGACAGGTACAGTATCTTAATTTTACTGAGACTTGATCCATCAGAGACTGAGCTATATAGAATTTTTTCAGATTTCAACAAAAGGACTATCTGGATTATGCACCATGTAAGAATCTGAATTAAAAACATTAAAACCCAGCCAGCTCAAGGGATGCCTTTCTATCTGATATCTGGACAAGTCTTTATGTGACTATTTTGTAAGACACTTAGGGCCTTTCTCTATATCTCTGTAACATGCTTGAAAAATAATCAGTAAACCAGATGGAGAGATACCTCTAATTTCAAATGCACTTTCTGTTCTCACAGGCTGTATTTGTATACTAGTTTATGGCCAGTATGAAGCTCATTTCTCCAAAGTGTTAGTGGCTTTTAAACTTGATGTAGTCCAGAACACTTTGGTTAAAATGCCTCAGCTGACCACTCACTTGAAAACAGGTGCCTACAGATGATGTCATCTAACCCTTGAAGGGTACACGTTAATCACATTGAAATAGAGATTAATGTGGGAAAGAAGAAAAAAGATGGTTTTTAACTTGACAGTTGGAGCTGAGGACTGAATTTCATTTTTTGTTTTAGAGAGACATAAATCAATAAAAGCTTTACAAAGGTTTGGCGTATAAATGATAGTGAAAGTACTTAAGTATAGAATAGTCTTTCATTTTATATAGTGCTGTTCATTTGCAACTCCTTTGTTTTCTCAGAAAATGATTTAATGTAATTATGGGAAACTCAGCAGATACCGTGCCCAGTTATTGTTGAAGGATTGGGTTTCTTTGGTTTAACAGTGGTTTATCTCCTTCTGAAATGCACCCATTCATTCACTCTTTTGAAAGAAGGAGACTTTTTCTTGGTTTAATAAATTTATCTTCACCTGAAACATTCCACTTCAAATCCAAAGTGAAGCATGGAAAATTCAAAGTTATCTGTTGGGGGTGAATTTTATTTTTGAGCCTTATGAGGCTTTTGTCAGAGATTAATTGGGTTAAAAAGCCTCATTAGAGACTAAAATGGTGGTCACAAAAATAGCCTGGGAGAAACCTAGGGACGCTGAGATTCAAAGTCGTGTCTGAGAGCAAGCGGTGTTTTACTCTATTATGGGTCTTAAAATTAGCTTTTTTGAAAGATCCATTAAAGAAGAATGCCAACTTATCTTCAGAATTCTCTAGGGAGGAGAACTTCTTTTTAGAATTTCTTTCTGAGAACAAAATTTAGAACAAAGGAGGAGACAGAATATTTCGAGGTCAGTATTGGAAATGAGCTAAGGTTTTCAGTATGAACTTGAAAGGATTTTTAAAAGGTTTTTTTGTGTGTGTCTAATAGAATAAGCTCTGTCACCTTATGGGCTCTAGATTGCTGAGCTGCAAGTTTATAAAAGTCATTGTTTTCAATGACTCCACATTGAAAATGTTATGGGGCAGGCATTTGGCCTAGTGGTTAAGATATTGTTTGGGACACCAGCAATGTCAGAATGCCCAGTTTTCCATACTTGCTCAACTCCTGATTCCAGATTCTTGCTAATGCACACTTTGGGAGGCAGCAGGTGAAGGCTCAAGTATTTAGATCCCTGCCATCCTTGTGGGAGACCCAGACAGAATCTCTGACTTCTGGCTTCATTATGCCCCAGCCCTGGCTATTGCAGGCATGTGAGCACTGAACCAATGGACGGGCAACCTCTAGCTGTTTGTTCATCTATGCTTGAAATAAATAAAATGAATAAATTTTTTTTAAAAAGCTAAAAATGTTTTCACTTTCACAAGGCTGTAGTTGAATAGGAAATATCTAAACTATGTTAAACTATGATTAGGAAACTGTTTAACATTCATGTTTCCCCATGTGGTGGAAGCAGTAGATCTCAATGAATGAAATTTGAAAGCGTGTAGTGTTACAGGAAAAAAGCATTATTTAGTATTATTAGGTATTGTAGGTCCAAATTTATGTTCTCTTCCTTTGCAGTTCTGTAACCTTGAACAAATTTTGAATCTATCTGAACTTCAGTTTCCTTGTTGGCATATTTGGAATGATCATACTTGCATTGCAAAGTCTTCTGTGAAGATTAATTGTAAATATACATTTCGAGCACCAAGTACTGTGCCTGCCACATAGTAGATGCTCAACAAATATCAACTTGCTTCCCTATTAATTGCTTATATTCTGAAGTTAGAGAAAACTGCAACTTTTGGTCTGAAATGTCTTGGGCTGAATAAAAGGAAATGAGGTGAAAGATACTTCCATATGTGCTAGAAAATTGAGTTCATTAATAATACAATTTACCGTGTCTTGAATTTAACAAAATCTTTCATGTACAACATATCCCCTGAATTTCACAGTACATCTGAGAGGAAGGTATTGTCACTCCAGTATTAAAGATGGAACAAACAAGAACATTGTAGAGATTTAGCAAGGTGAGACCTTATTTCAGACCTGTCTTTGCCTTCTCCTCCTTTTATACTTAACTGTTTGTCCCTCATATGACATGAATTGGTAAATTCATTTTCAAAGTGGCAGTTTTTCAAAAGTTTGATTATATTAGGGTTTGGTTGTTATTTTTATTGCTCAGAGGCAGTGGGTTGTGTGGCCCTCAGAAGATCACTAAACATCTCTGAACCATTTTCATCACTGGGGTATTACTAATTTATATAAGATTATAAGCAAAGTAGTTGGCATACATTAATGTGCAATAATTTGTTCTTTGTCTTTTTTGAAAGAGAAATATGTATATATATGTGTTTAATTTGTAAAATAAAAATTCAATGAAAGGAATGGCTTATTGGGCTTTTATATGGTTCTGTGGCTATCTGCCTTATATAACAATTTGTGTACACCAGAAAATGATATTTTTTTGTATTACTGAACAGAGTTTCAAGAAGCACTTAAAATCTCTTTTTTGATCTGCTACTTCATTAATGATGTGGAAGAGTGGGTGAAAATGTGCCATTGCTCAACATTAGTTTCTTCAGTGGGAGGTTTTTTAAAAAGCTATGAAGTTCTTAGCAGTTCATAATTATATTTGAAAGGGGAAAAAAGTAGCCCAAGTTTTTATTTGCTTACCTTAAGTTCCTCAGTTTCTATGAAGCCACTGTGATCGGTATCATATTTTCTCCATGTCTGTAAGTAATTTTGGATAAGGAAAACCAAACATGTTAAAAATCATTTATTTTCCTAAATTCCACAGTGAAAGTGACAAATTTCTTATACCTTCATGAATTCCTCACAGGACTTCAGCTGCTGGCACCGGAAGAGCAGCAAGAAATTCTCTTCTGTGGGTAACACATGGGCCAACTGGAAGAGATTGAGAAAGAGAAAGTGTTTGCAAGGGGCTTGAAAACAAGTCTCTGTCATCACCTGGTGCTTAGTTTGTCTTCAGCATCTTCCCTAGGAAAAGCGGGAGGGGAAGAACATCAGCGTCAACTTCCTCTGGCTGATACTTTGTTCTGACAAAGTGCCATCATGTTTTCCAAAGCTTGTGGGCTCTGCAAGGCTTGGTTTTCCTGTTAGTGAGGTGGCAGCAGCAGGTATGTGCTCAAACGGGACCAACATCTGTCCTGCTGGGCTACAAGCAGGTTCATCCTGTTGCCCAGAACCCTTCCCATGATCTGTGCCACAGATTCCAAAGTGCCTGGAAGAACATATGTGGAGCCAGTAAATTTCTTATGAAATGAAATATACTGTGAGAAATGTGAATGTAGGAGAAGGCAATGAAAGAAAAATTGGATTTCTAAGTCTGAGGGGAAATTCTACTCTGAGATATGAAAGAAGATAAACTGAAGATGATTGTGAAGCAGTGGAAAGGCATAGAAAAGACAGTCCACAATGACAAGTGGGAAATCAAACACTAACAGAAAAGTTGCTTCCAAATTGTTGGTTTCTGCTAACAGAACATCCATTGCTTGAACCCTGGATTAAGGTGTTTTTTTGTTTTTTTGTTTTTTTTTTTTTTGGTTTTGTTTTGACAGGCAGAGTGGACAGTGAGAGAGAGAGAGACAGAGAGAAAGGTCTTCCTTTTTCGTTGGTTCACCCCTCAGTGGCTGCTGTGGCCGGCACACCGTGCTGATCCGAAGCCAGGAGCCAGGTGCTTCTCCTGGTCTCCCACACGGGTGCAGGGCCCAAGCACTTAGGCCATCCTCCACTGCCCTCCCCGGCCACAGCGGAGAGCTGGACTGGAAGAGGAGCGACCGGGACAGAATCCAGCGCCCCCACTGGGACTAGAACCCGGGGTGCTGGCGCCGCAGGCAGAGGATTAGCCTATTGAGCCATGGTGCTGGCCTGGATTAAGTTTTTAACATCACAGCATGACTCTAACAGTTCCCCTTCAACCTCACTTCATACCTTCAACACTCCTCTTTTCTTTCTTTCTTTCTTTTTTTTTTTTAAGAATAAAAGTGTTCCTGATCCCATTTTCAGACTAGCATGATCTATGTGTTGCGTACAGAGAAGGAGAGAGCTGGACTGATGGCCCCACTGCAGACGTGAGTTCTATTTCTGGCTTGGCTGCTACTCCCTCTGCCATTTCCGGACCTCAGTAGCCTCTTCACTAAAATAAGGAGCTGAAATAGAAACCAGTGTTTCTCAACTGTACGAAGTCAGAAATGCCTTCTGTTGGAATCACTGCATCTCTGCATCAAGGAATGAACTTATCCCCATTACATTTCATCTGATTTCTGGAAGCCCATGAATTCCCAGAAGCAGAGGGATGGGTCTTCATCCCTGGACTTTATGTTAAAAACCTATAATCTAGATCAACCTTCAAGTCTATATGAGTTTTAAAAACTCTACAATGTTACATAAAAGATTAACACATCTAGTTTTACAAATTTCCTTCTTTTAAGATCCATTCAAAAATCTAAAATTTAATATAAAACATCACTCTACCTTATAAGTAAATAATCTCATCTTCTTTAAGCTATAAAATATGTTTCAACTTATTTCTATGTTTGAAAAAATGCCTCAAATTAAACCATTCAGTTTATAAGCACTGCATATTAGGAGTGAGACTAAAACTGGAAAGTGGCACAAATATCTTAGAATGTTTAGTCTGACCCAATTAAAATATTCTCTTATTTATTTAAAAAAAAGCCAATAGTGTGATTAGACAATAATATACCTAAAAGGAGAAAGTAGGGGTATAGTATTTGCCAGTAATTTTCAAAATGTGATTAGATTTTGATCCATAAACACATTTAGATCATGGCTCTGTATATGTGTGTGTATGCGTTTTCTAGGTCTCTTGTTAAAATTGTGATATACTTCTGTGACCTCTGATTTTAATTCATTTGAATTCTGAATCATAAAATCCTATCCTCCAGAAATACTGTAATTCAATTTAATTTCAAGTCCAAATAATTCAGTTGAGGATGCTAAGGATCAGAAACTTAATGACTTGACCTGGTGATTGGCATAAATTGAAGATCAGTTTAATTTGATGATTATTAGAAAATTAAGTTAATAACATGTTTATTGAAAATAATAATAGAGGGGCTGGTGCCATGGCTCACTTGGTTAACCCTCCACCTGCGGTGCCGGCATCCCATATGGGTGCCGGGTTCTAGTCCCGGTTGCTCCTTTTCCAGTCCAGCTCTCTGCTGTGGCCTGGGAAGGCAGTGGAGGATGGCCCAAGTGCTTGGGCTCCTGTACCTCATGGGAGACCAGGAGGAAGCACCTGGCTCCTGGCTTTGGATCGACATAGTTCTGGCCGTGGCGGCCATTTGAGGGGTGAACCAATGGAAGGAAGATCTTTCTGTCTCTCTCTCTAACTCTATCTGTCAAATAATAAAAAAATAATAGAATGATTTGGTCTCTTCTTTAATCTTGGACTGCAAATATGCATTTGTTGGAGATTTTTATATGTGACATCAAGATAGTCTGGGCATGATAGACAATGTTCCCAGTCATGGAACATTAAAACACCATCTTCTTATAGAGACCTCTTTCCTCCTTGCACATGGGATGCTGGTGAAAAGTAGCTAAAAATTGTTCTCAATAGTAGCCGGATACCAGGTAACTCAGGCCTAGAGAGTAGGTCTACACCCAAAGCTAAGAGGGAGAGAAAAACTTGGAGAAAGGACAGTAAAGGATTGGGATGGGAGAGGGTCTCTGGTGGAGGGAGAAGCTTCATGCCCTCAAGCCTTTGGTAGAGCTCTGACTTGCCTTTAATAATACTGTCTTGCAGAGGTACTGGAGGGTGTTTTTATCAAAAACTCCAAAAGACGTAGGAAGGAAAGAAAGAATGATTCAGGAAGGAGAAAGGAACAAACAGAATAAAATAAAAAGCTTATGTCTCAAGAGGGGGAAAATATGTTAGAACAGAAACTTCAAAGCACAGATTGACTAATGGATCCTGCTGGCAGTTAATATTTTAGAAAACTCTGTGTGATACCGAGTATTTGGCCACGTTATATCATGGTTGTGTATTAGTATAAGCATTAATTTAATAAAAAGGACATCAATGATACTAATTCTTCCTTTATTTATTTGTATGTATCTTTGTCAGATACTACTTAATAAGTTTGGATGAATCTCCCCCTAGAACATTCATTTCAAGAAGGTGGAAAATATTTCTAGTTTGCCTCCTGTGAATATCTAGAGTGGTGCCCAGCATATTATACTCACACTCCTGAAAGAAATTCTTGTGGATTTGCCAATAGTTCTACTTCATGAAAAATACCTACCTGAGGGGCTGGTGCTGTGGTGTAGTGGGTAAAGCAGCCACCTGCAGTGCTGGCATCCCATATGGGCACCGGTTCAAGTCCTGGCTGCTCCACTTCCCATCCAGCTCTCTGCTATGGCCTGGGAAAGCACTAGAGGATGGCCCACGTCCTTGGGTCCCTGCACCCATGTGGGAAGACCTGGAGGAATCTCCTGGCTCCTGGCTTCGGATCGGCACAGCACCGGCCATTGCGGCCAATTTAGGAGTGAACCAGCAGATGGAAGACCTCTCTCTGTGTCACTGCCTCTTCTCTCTCTGTATAACTCTGACTTTCAAATAAATAAATCTTTTTTTAAAAATTTCAGGGCTCCTTCTTTCTCCAGCTGTGGCATCTAAGAACTGCTTGCAATGTGCCAAAGGTCTTTTATGGAAGATGTTAAGAAGGGCTGCTTTAGTCTCAGATTCGTAACTCACTGTTGTCCAGAGGAGTAGCCACTATTGCCTTTTCTTAGATTGTGGGTGATTTTTTTGTTTTCTGGGCTGCCTGCCTGCTTTTTTATGAACTCCCTATACCTTTTATAGGTTGCAGACGAGAGTGGAGATTATCAAGGGTATAAGTGGAAGGCCGATAGCTGTGGCTGCAGACAGATCCCTCAGAGATGCTCTTATGAAATTTTGCTGCTTGCTTTGAAAGTGTGGAAGCAAAACTTTATTTCTACTTATCTCATTTACTAGTCTATACACAACTCGAGGATAAAATCTACATCTTATTTTCTGTTTCTTTGCCCAGCAGCTACACAAATTTCAGTGTATACTTTACTGAAGCAATGAAGGAAGGCTTTTGATTATGTGTCTAGAGTCAGTGTTAGGCTGTAAATAAATGTAAGTAAAATTGTTTGGAGAAAATTTGAACAACTTATTACTGAGCTGTGGATGGGGTTGTAGTAGGCATTGTGATATCCTTTCAGGTGTGGGGTATGTTGCTGTGTGCTAACCCCCCTTGAGAAATTGCTTGGGCTGAAGGCAGCTGTGTCTCCAAGGAGACTGAATGCTAGAACTGATCCACATGTATCAAAAGACCAACCCTCTTATTCAAAAACTAGGTATCTCTGAAGGGTCACCCCTTCTTCGGAGCAAACTGTAGGACAGTTGAGGTCTCCATTGAGACTGTATCACACCCTAGCCCCTTCCTCTTTCCAATCTTATTCTCTTCATTTCCCTTCTACAGGTAGTGAGCACATGAATTCTTGCTAATTTGAGTTAACCTCCTCATTGCTATTCTTTTACTTAGATATGCTTCCCTGGGAACTCAAACCACAATAGGGGTCTTTAAATATTCCTTCTGTTTCTAGCAGATATGAAGCCTTTGCCTTAAGGTTTACAGTTGGTTGGAATCCTTTGCTCTTTCTCATCTAGCTACTAAATGCTATGAACTGAAATGGCTGCTGAGGATTCAGTCACTGCTAGTAAGAGCCTTACAGAGATGCAGATAACGATTTTGTTTTTTCCTGACAGCTTCAAAGCAAGAGATGAATACAGTGACAAACCTAAGTACTAGATGTGAGAGAAGTACACACAAAGGGCAACCCCATTAGAGGTATAAATCGTGATATGGCTACTTGGAAGTGCAGCTGAGGCATAATTACTGACACTTTATAAATTGTATAATGACATGCAAATTTTTTTCTTAATATTGTTGCTGTAAATTTTCCTCATATCTTCTTTTCAGCCTTTATTACCTTCTTTGTCTTATTCTGTCAACTATACTCATTTCTCTTTGCTAAAACAGAAACCCCTTTCTTTCCTGTAATAGCTTCTCATCCCAAACTTTGGGGAAATTTTTGGCATCACACCTCTGAAACAATGCATCTGCTATGTGACCCTCCAATCTCTCCTTAAAGTTAGACCTCAATAAAAGTCATAAGTGACTAAAATATGTATAATAATAGAACCTGACTTCAAAATGTTCATCTATTTTGTCCTTTTGAAAATGTAAAATCCTTGTGAACTGATCCATACTTTAATTGCACAACCCTCGTTGTCTCTGAAGAAATGAACTAAAATAAATGGCTGCAACCATTGAAGTCCTTCAAGGTGAAATATGTCATATGTAACATGACAATCTTTCCTCTGCTAGAATTACAAAGTATGCCAAACTGAAATAGCCAATCTGTAATTTCACTGATGTCAGATTTCCAGACTAGTTTTGAAGAATTAGATTTACTTTATTTTATTTATATTCATTTAAGCTTTTTTGTTCTTGATTTCATATCTTGATTAGCTGTCCTCCATGTCAGTTTATAAGTCCCATTACTATTAATTTATCTACTTACATAGTAATGAGTTACACATGGGCAAAGTGGAAAGTGCATACTCCTGGGAAAATTTTTAATTACAAAGATAATAATAGTATGCCCTCTCTTAATTCTATTTGTAGAAGGTGTTTAAACGTAAGTATATTTAACATTGGCATCACAAGTGTCCTCATAAGATCAATTATCTGAAAACCAGGTTATTCCTCTTAATCATAGGTAAATTATGACCAAATGTTCTTGAGAGTCAGAATACTTCACAATCTAATACATTGAGCATGCTACAAGAATAATATAATTATGCTCATAATTCGGCATATTTTAAAAATGACTTTATTAATTTTTCTAGACAAAAGCTTCCACTCAATTTCTTTAATAAATTGCAGAATTAAAGAAAGAATTCAAGATACCACTAGATTTTGGAAAACTAGAAGGGGAGCAACTTTTTTCACAAACTGAAATGCAGAATCAATGCATAACCAAAGTTTTGCTTTCTTGATTCACAAATAAAAAGAAGTTGTTTTCCTTTGGAAAAGTCATTGTCAAAGATTTGACACCCATTATCTTCACTTTTAGAGACTCAAAAGAAAAATGTACCTATGGACACATCATAAAATATTCACTTTAGTGAAGTTCTAAGGCTATCTGTAGATTTAAAATAGATTACCAAAACCAGGATACAGCATTTTAGTGTGACATTGTCATTGACCTGCAAACATTTCATATTATATTTTAACAGAAATGTCTACTTTGCTAAAAGATAAGATACATGAGTGAATCAAATACTCGGACACTTTACTGAGCTGATGCTTGGTGATTTAATGTGGTGGATACTCATCCTGAAGTTGGGGATTTGTTTATCTAACCACACCTGTGTCAGCAAACAGCTGCACGACTAGAGGCAAGTCATTTCATCTCTCCAGGGTCTCAGTTTCATAATGTATTAAATTTAAGCTCTGTTTAAGGCAAAAACTCATAGGTCTGTTTACTTCTATTTATATACAAAATAGACAGTAACACATTACTTAGGTAAAATATATCTTTCTGAATGAGTCTTTCTATGACATATTTGACTTGGATACAACCTCAAAAGTAAGCTCATTTATTAAATCAGGCAACATGTAAGTTTCTTACCTCTACAATTCCTATTTTTCCATCATCTCTCTGCCCATACTGATCCACAAAAGTTTTCATCTCAGGTGATAATTCCTAAAATTATAAAAAAGCAGGTAAGAACTTTGTAAAAATACACAATTATGCTTGTGATCTGTTAATATTACTTACTTTACAGGAAAACCAAAATGGAAACCATTTGGAATTATGTATGTTGATGAACTGTTATCATGCAAATTAAAGATATAACTAATATATGGTATTTATTAGTTTCAAGTGAAAGTTATAATCATCATTTTTTAACCACTATAACTGTTTTTGAAATTCTTTGATAATGTATTTAGAATCATTCAATTAATAACATTTAGGGAATGAACATTGTTAATAGACATTAAGTATTATTTGTTCAGTAAAGTTTCTTTTATATTATTGCATGATTTTTTTCCTGTTACAGGTTCCTTATTCTACAGTAATGTTTTTTTCCATAGAGAGTAGTAATATGTGATTTTGCTTTGGACAGCAAAAAATGTGAATGTTGAATAGTATTCACTTAGTAAGCAAGGAATGTTTCCAGTATGAAAGAAGCATTCATTGGCTAAATAAGTTAAAACATTAAATATCAGAAAAATAACTCTTAGGTAAAACAATAACTTGACAAATCTGAATTCATCACAGACAATGTTGATGACCTTACTTTAAGCCATTGTTTATATGCTTAAGATCTTTGTCTCTAGAGTAACTTGAGGAACAGTTTTCCAGGGTTACTCTGTTTCCATTTATTTCTAAGATTATGTTCTTTCTCCCATGTATTTTAGTACAATAAAATACTCAAGAGTGATGAAGTGAATGCTTTCTTTGTATTCAACTTGTTTTTAAATCTGTTGTATTAATTATATAATCTGTTTTACATATTGACAGATTAGAAAGCTATGGACTATAAAGTAGTGATCTGACATAGACCTAGTATTCAGGAAGTTCAATTTTTACCCTTGGGTCTCTAACATAGCCCATTTAAAATAGCCCTGTTGCATTAACTGAACCTATTTAAAATAGGTCAGCCCTTACTAATGTCCCTTTCTATGTCCTTGGGAAAGCAAATTAAGGTCTCAATTTTCATCATAACTAGCAATATGGTGGTTACTGACAACACGTTTGCTCTAGGGATAGGTAGATTAATGTAATTTAAGGGCTATATTGAGGCTAAACATCATTAGTGGATAGGTTGATATAATTTAAGTGCTATTTTGGGGCTAAATGTCATTACCAATAGTACTTAGAAAATCTTTTTGAAATCAATGTAAATATCTTTAGTATAATTAAGGTAATATTTTGTAACTGAACAATTTAATTATATTTTAAACTTAAAAAACTCTGTTGTAGGTAAATTGAAATTTATATGATTACGTTTTGTTACAGGAATAATTGCAAGAAAAGAATCATGTTTATCCTATGACAATAGTGGAATTGTCAGTCCTTATATTTTTAAACATCTAACTTAAAGTAAACAAAAAAACCAAAGAATTCGTTCTTAAATATTAAAACTATGTAATGCTACTGGTTTAACTGGCAATCTTCACATTCAGTTTGTGAAATTTCTGGGTGACAATTGTGCCCAAATCTATTTTTTAAAGGATGCAAAGCATATAATCATCATCATCACCAATTAAACATCTATAAAAATAAATGCAAATTTAAAGGCTAAATACTATATTAGTGGAAAAAATAGTTTCAGAAATTTATGGTATTGTTATATTTCATTGATGCTGTATTCACTTAGTGAAATTTTTGAAATTTTACATTATGAATATAAGAAGCTAAACAATGTTTCCATTAGTGCAATGAAATCTGTTATCCTATAGTTAGAAATGCAAAGATTTGGGTCAATCTTGATGTCTAAAGAGAGATAAAAATATGTAAAAGTAAGCTTATTGTAATGGGGCCAATGGTATAGTGAAACAGATTGAGTCGATGAGCCTCTCAATCCAGGTCTTGAGTTAGATTTTAACTATTCAAAACCCACATAAATAAGGACTTCAAGTACAGGGACTGAAGTACAGGGAACCTTGATAAAATCTCATGCTTGTGCTCAAATTTAGTATTATTGGGTTATAATAAAATAATTGTAGCAACACGCATTAGTCAGTTAAAAAAAGGCTCTAAAATTTCTAAAGCTCTAACACAAAGGCATTATTTACAAAAAGGTACAAATACTAAAACAGGGCAAAAAATCATAAAAGATCTATAGAACTCATGAGAATTTCTAAGATTAAAATAAATCTCAATATTAAAATTACTTCAGAAAAATTAAAATATCTCCTAGTTGCTGGAAGCATCTTCCAAGTTTAATTCTCAATTTTATGGAAACTAAGACTTTCCAACCACATATTTTAAATATAGATTTTTAAATGAGGACAAGAATTGCTTCTATTTAATTATCCAAAGATCCACAGAAGTGTAATGACAGTACTATGCATATTTATTTACATAGAAGATGGGAGGAGGGGGAGTATGTAAAACATTTTTTGTTAGATCTCATTCTATTATACTTTTAGATCTACATTATGTTAAGTTAGGGTAAAACAATTCCTTGAGCACAATCTGGTTTAAAGTCAATTTGGCCAATGATTTTATCAATTGATAGTTCTATAATGCATTAGAATACATTTAGAGCCCTCTAGGATTCTTTGCAAGATGTTATACAGGGATAAGTATTACACAATTTCCAACTTAGATAGAACAAAAAGATAATACTATCAATAAATTATATATATAAATATTACTCATTACTAGAGGTGGTGATTTGCTATATAATATGTGCAGATAAGTATATCATTAATAATGAAAAAATGTCATTGTCACTGTAGTCAAAAAGGCCAAAGGCTATAAACATTTAAATTAGGGCAAATCCAACACTACCTTCTGAAAGACAATCTTACAGAAAACTCTAATAGATAAAATCCTTAATCCTTAACAGCCATCTCATCTGTGTGAAGGGTGGGTATATCTTTTTATGCTGAAAACATTTTTCTAAACTGGCTAGTTAATGTCCTCCAAAAGCCACTTATAATTAGTAAGAATGTTCATTTGTTTAATTAACTAATGGTTTAAATAATAATAAAAAAAACTCGCTCATTTCAAAACACCATTGTTTACCATCAGAGGATCTCTTTCTTGTTTTGTATCATATGCAATTCTTTATTTTACTTTTAACTTCTCCGATTTTGGAGTTTCTAGCCTTTTTACTGAAATGGAGACTTCGTCTTGCTAAACTGAACAAAGTGCTAAAGTGAGGAGAGTCAACGCAAGAGGTTTTTCTTATCTCCGCAACAAAATCAACATCACAACCATTGTAACTGGCAATAGAATCAGATTCATAACCTGCAGATCTGTTTCCTGACCACCAAGGGGCAGAAATGCATTTCTACCCCTCTTCTTCTCACACAGTAAAAGAGAAGTTAAAAATTATCTAACCGAACTCAACGGCAGAGGTGGTTATCTGGGCAAGATTTCATGCACCCACACTTTCCTTTTAGGAGGTATAAAAGCTGTACAGTGATAAAGTATTTATTTTTAAAGCTCTGATTTTAGACTGTAAGGCTTTCCCCGTTAGGAAATCCCCCTTCCCCGCTTTCTCCATCCCTCCCCCCTTTCCTTTTCTCTATGCATTTGGAAAGGCTTTTTTTTTTTTTTTAATTTTATTTTCTCTTACTCTTTTTTAGCCTATAAACGTTTACATTTCCTGGAAAGCATTAGACCCCGCTGGCTCCCTATGAAAACACAAGAATGTTTATGTATTTAGAGTCGAAGGTCTTTCTCTTCCTTCACAAACTTGAACATACCAATCCAGCCTTCTTTCGCGCCTGCTGGAGCTCCTGGATCAAGTTCTGCAGCTCCATTCCCTCCAGGTAACCACTTCCTGCAAAGACAAAGAGGCACGCAGGTGTCAGATATCTCATCCGACTTTCTTTCCCATTTACTTTCCAAGACAGCTGTCTTTCTGGCGACTTGATAGACTCTACATTGATTAACCAGCTGAGGGTACAAACTCGGCTCTCCTCCCGGTTGTCAAACTTTAGATCCACTGAGGACAAAGGAAGATGGTTAGGTGCTGAACGCAGCCATAGAAACTTTGGGGGGCAGGGTTCCAGATTCCTTGCTTTCTGTCTTCTACTATTACCATTCCTGGAAAGCCAAAAGTTTAAGTTTGGGGGATTATAGAGAAGCAGAGCAAAGTTTCACGTTGCCAGTCCGGGTTGATAAGATTAGGTGAGGTCTGGGGGTGGGGGAGCAGGAGTAGGGAATAGAAAGGAGGGAGATAGGGAGGAGAGAGAGTGGGAAGACGAATGCACATGGGTCTGGAAATAGTTAAAAAAAAAAAAAAGGCAGATAATCACCATCAGCGTCGTAATGAAGCCAGATCTCGAAAAACTGTGAGGCTGTGATCAGGGATGATTGCAGGTGGGATTCTGCCATCGTACAGCGGGGAGTGTGTGTGCGGGTATGGATGAGTGGGTGTGAATGTGTCCGAGAGAGAGTGGGGTGAGCGGGGACCTCAGTGAGTGCGAATCCAAGCTGCAGGGGAAGACCTGAGCGCGGGGGCTGCGGGCGCTGTCCTCGGTGCTGCTCGGCTCGCGCGTTCCACCGGAGTTCTCTGCACCCCGCACCCAGTTCTCAGTATTTATCCCGACGGCCTCAAACTGGGCCACGCCTCCTCCTGCCTCCCATTCCTCACTCCCCGCCTCTTGCTCTCACCAACCTTCTTCCCCTCCCTTCCAGTTTTCGCCTCTCTTCCCCGGAAAGCTAGCGGGAGCAGGAGTTTCAGAGTATTCGAAGCAGCAGGTGGTGGGAGATCCTTAGCTCAGAGATTGGTTGCTGAAAACAGACCTATTTCCCTTCACATTCTCCTAGTCTAGGAAGAATCTTATTCCTGAATATTATACCTGGTGAGGGTTTGATTCCCAAATAAAAGGGGAAAACTGAGACAGGAGACCACATTTATGATGCCTATATCTGCCTGCAATTTCTCCAAGACTTTTAGTATCTTTTTCATCAAAATCAGAGGAAAGCTTGGCAATAATAAATTAATCAAGCACACACACACACACACACACACACCCCATCGTATAATTGTTTCTTTAGGTAATTTGCAGGAATTAGTCTTGAGAAAGCAAGGTCAGGGTTGTTTTGTTCCAGATTGAAAAATAATAACTGGAAATTACAGATCCAAGTTACAAAATCTTAAAATATTAGAGAAAAAAGTGATCTTACAGATGCCATAGTTTACTGCCTTTGAATTTAGGAGGAGAAAACTAAAGCAAAGAGAGGGAGAATCTGGCCTAAGTTCCTAGCAAGGTGATACTGACTCAGGCAGTGACCTTCACGTATCTCCCTCTCTCCTTCCTATTAAAGCAAATCCTGCTGGAGAACTTTTCAGAAACTGGAAGTTGCCATCACAGTTGGAAATAGCTACAAAACTAAATGTAGTCTATGTCGTGTCATTTAATGTGGTAAAATATTCAGATTATCTGTTATTCACATAAATACTTCTAAAGAATTTAGCTTTTAATCTTTTGAGACTTTGAGAGCTACTGAAAATGTTTCCCAAGTGCCTAATCACAGAGCTGCAAAGAGAAAAATGAAGAATAAGAGAAAATACAAAGTTAGTATAAACTTAAAGTGAACTCAAGTGGATTTACCACGCTCTCTATTTTTACTCTTATGCAACTCAGTGTGATAGTCCTCAAATTTATATTTCTGAGACTGTGTCTCTATTCACTAGTGGATCTGTATCTTTTTTGGAGGCTCATAATTTCAGAGCTGCCCAGGAATTAGGATGAACATATTTCAATAACCTTCTAATGGATTCATCACTTTCATAGTATAAGAGTTTATAAATTACTTTCATTTAAGTTACCTTATCCAATTTTCAGATTTAGTCTTTGAGCTTGGTATGCAGAGAATACTATTATTCTTAGTTTTACACAACAGATACACTAGAATTTGAGAAATAAAATTTGAGAGCTTAATAGCCTTATATTTTCAAACTAAATAGAACTTCATTAAATGTCAAATTATTTGTACTTCAGTTCATCCAATAAACACTTATTATGTCAAGGACTCTGCTAGACACTATAAATAATGAAATAAAAGACATAGAGCCTACCTTCTTGAAGCTTAGGTTTCTGGGAATATAGTCACATAAACACCCACAATACTACATATTAATGTAATGGAAGTAGGCACAAGTTACTTTGTATGCATGAATCTCCTAACTTTTTGCATATGTGGGAGTTAAAGTTTAAGTTATGTAAGTTACCTCGTCACAGACTTTGTTCAATAGAGAGGCACCTTTGGTTACAAGAAAAAACAGTTATGGAAATGAAAGGCCAATAGCTTGGGCAAGTTCATCCTAATTCCTGGAAAACTAATTCTGAAAATGTTCCTGTCTATTACAATATTTGGGATTGTGATCTTTGTTGTTGTTGTTTTTTAAAGATTTATTTTATTTATTTGAAAGTCAGAGTTACAGAGAGAAGGAGAGACAGAGAAGAGAGAGAGAGAGACAAAGAGAGAGGTCTTCCATCCACTGGTTCACTCCCCAAACGGCCGCAACAGCCAGAACTAGACCAATCCGAAGTCCACAGCCAGGAGCTTCCTCTGGGTCTCCCATGTGGATGCAGGGGCCCAAGGACTTGGGCCATCTTCTACTGTTTTCACAGGCCATAGCAGAGAGCTGGATCGGAAGTGGAGCAGCCGGGGCTTTACCTTCTACGTCACAGTGCCGGCCCCATGGGATTGTGATCTTTGAATGAAAAATACAGTATATGAATTTGGAAGGCAATGCCAAAGGATAAATATTGAAGAGAGGACAAAAACACAGTGTCCACGTATGATTTGAAGTATCTGACTCTTTCTAGTCCTGGAAGGGCTAGCAATGTGTAGATTTTGGGAACAGTTGTGAGACAAAGAAAAATACCAGGAAAAAAAATGAAGGTACATGATGAAAAGCAAATTAACATTTCTATTATTGTCCGTAATTGCAACTATTTTCTTTCCTATAAAGCAAAAACAACATTTACACACTGTGGTAGAAATTTCTAAGTATTTCTGCTACTTTTTTTGTGCATAGTTTTTTAAAGAATTTGATCTTAAATTCCAAGGCACTACAAGATAATTTTAGAAAGTCAAAAAATTTTATATGGAAAAGCAATCTCTTTCTCATTTCACTTTCTTGAAAATATGTCAATATCAGAATTTCCATGTAGGAATCTTTAGGTGCTGTGAACTTAATGGGATAGTGGTGGATGGAACAGAAATAGGAGGTTTTTTGAAGCTGTGTGCCAATAACAATCAAACTCTTTGATTTTTTTCATGTTTATATAGAGTGGTTTTGAGTAGCTAATGCAGATTATGAAGTTCCAAATCTCCTTTTTATTTTTAATTTTTTTAGTAAAAAAAAGAGAACAGATTTTATAGGTACACTTCTAAGAAGATAACCATACTTCCCTCCCTCTCTCTCAATCCCCTTTTAAATCACCTCTTAGTGCTACCAGTACCCTGAGGTAATCACTTTTAAAAGCTCCATGCTAATACAGACACAGAAATAAACTTGTATGGCTTTTATTTTTTTGTTGCTACTTGGTTTTATAGAACAGGGACTAGGTTCTGTATATTGCAGTCTGATCTTATAAGTCTGAGGGCATCCCTCCAGTGCCAACAATTTAATACATACTTTTATAGTCGAATATTATTGTATTTTATTGAATAACCATGATTATAGACATTCTTCTTGTGCTGTTTTACGGCGACAAACACCTTCACATGTTTACTTCAAATGTATTTTCTGTTTTTCTTTTCACCTTACCCTTCTTCACTCCCACCCTCCCTCCATTTCTTGCTTTTCTTTTAATTTTTACAATGATATACTTTAAATTTTCTTTATAATCATAAGCTTAACCCTCAAGTAAACACAAAATTCAACAACAGTATTTTTGATTCAAAAAGTCTATGTGTTTTAAATTTTAATGGCATTTCCATGGTATTTTCTCCAAATTGTGGCAACTTGTATGCAAGTGAACAAAGTCTGAACATCGCTTATCCTCATTAGCTATGAATGTTATTGCCTTTAAAACTTTTTGCTTGGGGCTGGCGCCTTGGTGCAGTAGGTTAATCCTCCACCCTGGTGCCGGCATCCCATTTGGGTGCCGGTTCTAGTCTCGGCTGCTCCTCTTCCAGTGCAGCTCTCTGCTATGGCTTGGGAATGCAATCTAAGATGGCTCAAGTCCTTGGGCCTCTGCATCCACGTGGGAGACCTGGAGGAAGCTCCTGGTTCGTGGCTTAGGATTGGCACAGCTCTGGCCATTGTGGCCATTTGGGGAGTGAACCAGTGGATGGAGGACCTTTCTCTCTGTCTCTCCCTCTCACTGTCTGTACCTCTCTCTCTCAAATAAATAAATAAAATCTTAAAAAAAAACTTTTGTGCTAATGTAATGGGCAAAAACTAATCGCTTTTCCCCTATAGTTCGCACTCATTAATTTTTAAAATTGACCTTTTGCTTCCATGGTGGGATTTTTGTTAGTATTTATTTAATGGCACAAATGTAGTTTCATTATTTTTTTCCTTGAAGCAATTATTGATCCCAGATTGTCACCTCAAATCAATATCTCTTTTGGGTTTGTATTTTGGGCCATTTCTAGACCAAGTCCTTAAGGTCCCAGTAAAGAAGTGTGTGTTCCAGGTTTACAGATTTGAAGTAAAATGAGAAATTCTTTTTACTGCCACCAAATCATTTAATTTATTAACTAATGTTTAAGGGAACTTACCTCTCAAGTCAGAAATCCTTTTAACTCTATGATTCTGGGAAAACTGCAAATGCTTTAATAATGAGATTTTTCCGTAAGATTGGAGTTTCTAAAAACAACATTGCAAACAAAGCATGTTTATGACTTGCTTTATAGGCCTCATTACCCAACCTTAAGGTGAATGGGTTCATGATCCAACATTGTCATAAAAGCAGAAGCAATTTGTGTGCAAAAAAACCTCCAGGATAATGAAACTGCATTTCCCATTTCGTGTTACTGAATTACCAGAGCTCCATTCATATTTAGGCTACTGCAGGTGGTTCTAAGTGACTATGCAAATTAGAAGACTGAGAACTTCCTAGGTTTAATGAATGCTTGAATAGCCTCTCTTCAGAAAAACAAAGCAAATAAAACTCTCAAAAATGTATTTTTTGTTCTTTTTTAACTTTTATTTAATAAATATAAAATTTCAAAGTATAGCTTTTGGATTACAGTGGCTTCCCCGCCCCCATAACTTCCCTCCCACCAGCAATGCTCCCATCTCCCGCTCCCTCTCCCATTCCATTCACATCAAGATTCATTTTCAATTATCTTTATATACAGAAGATCAATTTAATATATATTAAGTAAAGATTTCAACAGTTCGTACCCACACAGAACATAAAGTGTAAATTACTATTTGAGTACTAGTTATACTGTTAATTCACATAGTACAACACATTAAGGACAGAGATCCTACATAGGGAGTAAGTGCACAGGGACTCCTGTTGTTGATTTAACAATTGACACTCTTGTTTATGGCCTCAGTAATCACCCTAGGCTCTTGTCATGAGTTGCCATAGCTATGG